TAGCAAATGCTAGATTTCTTACTTTTATTTTTTTTCCCCTTTCAATTTTATTGGTGCACGTGTTTGGTTTTTTAAAAATTGTTTTCTGGTACCAGCATGTGATGATTCTGCATGTAGTGCATACTTCATTTGGTGATGATTGTGGCCTAGTGCCAGCACTAAAATACATTTAAAGTTTCAGGAAATAAATCAAGTGATATGGTGATGATATACTTGGCTCTTGTCATGTGTTTTTGGCCTTTCCAAATCCATGGACTGATTTATAAATTTCTCATATGATTTAGCATTTGCATCTGTGGCGTTAGTGTAGGCAGAAGTCTACGTGGACAAATTCTATCTATCAACTGTTAAGAAAATAATTCAGGTTAATCTTTTTGTCTGCCTGACCATCAAATAAAAGGTGACATCTTGAGAAACTGTTCCTCGTTTGCTGCAATAGTAGCAATAACATGTTCTTAAAAGTGAATTAGTTAATAATTTTCCCAAACCATCTCCAAGTGTTTTTAATTATGTGCATTCTGTATTTTAAAACACATTTTTTACTGTAAAGTAAACACATTTACTGTAAAGTAAACACATTTTTTCTGTCAAAGCAGATGGTAGATAAGTGTTGCCCCCATGAAGTCAAGATTCCTTTTTTGGAATTATGATGGAGTTTATTTGGAGTTTGAGGTCAGGAAAGATAAGTCAAAGCACCACCATCAGAAGTAAGCGTGATTGTTCCTGGAATTCTTCTAAAAGAAAAGAAAACCCCCAAATTTAAATTCTTTATATATAAATTTTGCTGTGGCCTGTGCAAGTTTGTTGTAGCTAAATGCCACAGAGCAAGAATGTGTTACGGTTTTGAAATTAGGCAAAAATTAAGCAYTTTGATTTGTACAGGGTATGTTGATTTTTATAACGTTGGACAAAAAGATATTCTGTTCTAAAGCCATGGCACATCAGTGGTCATTGAACATACTTTTCTATGTGGCACAATCCTTGATGGATAAATGTTAGAAGTACAGCACATCTTTCCATGCTTTAAATACTAGGCTGTGCTTGGCAGCTTCAGAAAGGAAGTCATTCCTTTATTAGTCATCAGTCTCTGAGGCAACAGAAAAAAAAAGGTGTTCCAAATTTATATAGGCAGCTTGCAGTAAAACTGCTGCTGAATTGGGCTCTCAGTTATCTTTGTGAGGAAATGGATCTGGCCCAAAACTCCTCGAAGTGGATGTGCTCCTGCCCTTTGTCATGGGGACAGCAAATGCCAGTGGGATTCATGGATTACCAGGGGACAGAAAATGTCATCCACACATCAGAAAGGACAASASTGATGAAAGAAGATAGAGCAGGGTTGCACAAGGATGCAGAGGAAACAATGCACGAGCGCTGCTCAAGGGAGCTRACTGGTCTCTTCTGATGGATCTTAGCGGCAACTGGGGCATGGGATGTACCTTGACCTTCATTTCACATAATCTTTATAAAAAACATTATTTATAGTTTATATATGTGTTTTACATGTATGTGCTGTATGTAGCCTACATATAGTTTGTGTAAAACACATGTTGTGCAGTGCTTTGCTTTCCTCTGTCTGTGGGGAATGGCCAGAGTTAAATTACTGTTTTTAGAGAGCTCCCTATGTAACATTCATGCCATTGAAAATGAAATGCCAAGGTGTAGATCTGTAGAGTTAAGGAACCCAAACAACCTTAGAAGTGTCCTAAACTGCCACCATAAAATAAAGATTCTTTTCCTCCCCTRTTTGGTGTGCTGAGAGAATGAATGCTGGAGAGAAATTGAAGCTGCTACAAGTACCTGCTTGCTTGTTACAATTGCAATATAAAACAGAATAACTTGCCTAACAATTGTAATATAGTGTATAAAGCAGAAATGTAYACTTCAAATCAGGTTTTGATAGGTTTGGAGTATTTCCAAGAATTATTTACTTAAATAATATTTAATTATTTCATTACTGAAATAAAAAGGTGGGGAGGAAGTTAAAGAAAGAAGGAAACAAGTGGAATTTGATAAAAGTATTTCTTAAATAATAGCAACTTTCAATTGACCCCTATCCATTTGAGGAATAATAAAGATGTTCCTCAGCATATTCATTTTAAAAGGGTCACTGTACTCTTGTGACCKTACTCCAATCTCAGCCCTTAGGTATCTAATTTCAGATCCTGTTTTTTTTCTGAGAAAAGTTATGTAATACAGTTAATTTTGAATGTTGTTTGGGGTGACTTAACTCCCACATTTTTTGTTTATGCTATACAGTACTTCATTCCCTTAATGGAAAGGCTATGAAGATTCTTTCTTCCAGCACTGAATCAAGTTGCATAGAAAAGGAGCAGAAATTTGTTATCTTTTTGTAATTGTTTTACAATTAGTTTTTCATAGTATGTGATTGAATACCTAATCCCTCTGTGTTGTTTTGCTTGCATGCTGCTGCATTTCTGGTACTGGTAGCCAGTCTGATACAAGTTAAACACCTTGTGTCTGCTCTCAAGAGAAGCCATAGGTACTCTGTGCATCAAATTCTCTTGTGACTGCTTTGGGTTACTCGTTCTCCACCCGAGAAGTCTCAGGGGAGTCTGGAGTGGATAGGGTTTTTTTTTCCCTCTGCCTCTTTTCCAGCAATACTTCGTGGTCTTGAGGCATTTCTCAGAAGGTGAAGTGTGAGAAGTGCTCTTGGCTGTGCTGATTTTGAGAGTCCGGGTCCAATGCCACATCAGGGGAAGGGAAAGGCAATGGACACTGCTCATGACAGGAATGAACTGGGTCATTTCTTGGAAGACGAGAGGAGAGGGAAGCAAATCTAATAGGCTTTGGCAATGGTCCTAAACAGGTTGAGGAGGAGAATTAGCCACATTAATGATTAATGATAGCAAAGCTCATTCAGCTTGAAAAGTGCTTTCTATAAGTGCTAAGTGCTGGCATTAAAAATGTATGCATTTTCATTTTWATCCACACTTGGTGTCTGCAAATGGAGAGGAAAGGGAAGAGCCAGCAGTGTCATCRTAGTAGCACTAATACCTTACTACAGATTAAATCACAGCTTGCCAAGGTATACAACTTAGGATCTGGGCCTTGCAGAACTCAGCCTGTGGTGGTTGCTGATAGGTGAGATGTTCCACCACCCACCCTGCAGAGCTCCAGGKGAAGGCTTGGAAGCCTTCTGCAAAGTGAACAGTTTTCCTCATTAAATCCCTACTGAAGAAGACAAAGGCTATATGTAGTCTRTCACACATGGATTTCTTTGCACCGTTGAAAATTTTATAAACGTCARCTATCTGATCTCTATTTTTCTCTTCCAAAAAATTGACCTGCTTTCTCTAATAAGTAGGAAAGCGGACTCTAACAGAAGTGATTTGTTGTGCTCTCAAGATGGTGGCAAGTTGCCACCAGAAGTGCTGTMGACCAGAGCAGCAGAGATTGTGTGGGCAGGAAGTCTTTGCTGCAATCAAGCTGCAAGAGGTGAAATCTAGAATAATTTGTTATATGWTTGTTGATAGAGGTGTCTGAAAGGAGCTGATTAGACAAACTGAGAGACAGAAGAGAAAAAGAAGTTTGAAGTCTGATCTTTGACAGCTACAAGCCACATGCCTAAGGGTTAGGCTGCAAGGTGCTTGTTGATGGGCTGTTTGATGACATGAGGTGAAGGAAGAAGCAGTTTGGGAGAAGCAGTTTTCTGCTCTGACCTGATGTTAGGCACCAGCCTTGGCAAGGTCAGTGCAGCCCTGTGGCTCCCCAGGCTGCTGGTGAGTCAGCAGCTGCATACCTTTTGCAAATGTCTGGAAATGGTAACTGAAATCCTTGTTTTGCCAGTTTGCTGCAGTGTGTAATCCTTCTCTCCTCCCACACAGCTGTATGCTGAGCTGGTTTCATATCTTCATTTCGCTCTGCTGCTGGTCTAGCCTCACTCTTTATTCACACATCTGCTAACAGATAGTTAGGGGCCTCATTCTGTAATTGTCTCCAGTTTGCTTGTGCCAGCTGAGCTCACARGCAGGGTGAGAACACCACAGGGTGACCCATCCCCTATCTGCTGTGAAGCAGACCCTCACTTAATCCTTCTGTGTAGTGTTGGGCTGGTAGAAGTTACATGGTATGAGAAGTATACATGGTATGAGGATCTCTATATCAGTCCCTTGCTTCCCAACAGACACCTATGCATTAGCTTTCACCTTGATGTGGGAAGGATGGAGGTGGAGGGGAGTGGTTGCTCTTCAAGAATAACAAGGGTTGATCTTAATTTGCCCTTGGTCAAAATTACTCACTTTTCTTCTCCGCTTTGTTGATAGCCACGCTGTGCACTGCTGTGTTAGAGGCTACATTTTCAGTTATGAGTTGGGTAAAATGCTGTGGTTGCTAGGGGAGAAAAGTATTAGTATTAYCAATATTTATTACTTGGTCCCCATGGAAACCGTAGTTCTTTGGGGAGTCCTAATTCTCACATTTTTCCTTTCTGTGGAAAAGGTACTTCTTTAATCGTGAAGTTGAGATAGTTATTTTCCAAGAATAGATGGCAAGATGCACAACTCTCTTYGTGCTCTAGTATGCTTGACAGATATCTGTCTATGGGGAATTACTGYTTACTAAGCTATGTTGTGGCTTCCAGTCACACAAAGATCTTTTGAGTATGGTTTTCTAATTATATCTTGAAGGTATTTTATTATTTTTGGCCCTCTGTTTCCTGTTTGATGTGGGCTTTCCCCATTTTTATTTTTGAATTKGCTGCATATTTTAAATTGATGAAGAGTTATTTAGTTAATTTTGGTTTAAGTGATCTTAGAGGCCTTTTTCAAACTARATGATTCTATGATTTGATGGGGAAATGAATTGCTGTTTTCTGCTTAAAGGTATAACTGTGGCAAAAGTATGAATGGCTATAAAAGGGACACAGTAATACCTGGTTTTTGAAAGTTTGAGTTCTACAGATTTTCAGATGAAAGCTTGTTAAAATGCTAGGTGATTTGTCCTTGGCAGAATAGTTTACTCAGTGTTTGGCTCTCTTACAGTGCCTAAAACAGTATGTGGAACTTCTGATCAAAGAAGGTCTAGAAACAGCAATCAGCTGCCCTGATGCTGCCTGCCCAAAGCGWGGTCATCTGCAAGAAAATGAGGTGGGTACACTTTTCCTGCAAATAGGATGTTTTATTTCTATTACAGGATGTTCAAATGTGTCTTGCTCTTTATGTTACAGCTTCCATTGTTAGCAACATATGTTTTTGTTAATTCTTCAAAGATCAAATATTTGGACTCTGTTTAAAATTACTTAGATTATTGCTGTTCCTAATTGGAAATTTTTCTTCTTTTCCTTGTTTTAACAGATTGAGTGCATGGTTGCATCAGAAATCATGCAAAGGTATAAGAAGCTACAGTTTGAAAGAGGTAACACATGTWACACTACCCATTGAAGGCTGTGGGAATGTTCCAGAGCAATCCTATAAATCAGAGTCTTGACTACACATGTTCATGCAGTAGCATTGTGCATTAATTGCATGGTCAGCAGAAAAAAAAAGCCCTAAAACCTAAAAAGTAATTGTTTCTGTTCTTGCCTGCATGATTCCCAGAAAAGCAGTACTCTGGGAATAARCTAAGGAAAGAAAATTGCCATGTATTATATTCCTAAATAACTAAGGAAGGGAGTGACTTCTATTTCAAGCTTTGCTGTTTAAGATGACTGCTAGTACTGTAGGGGCTGGGGAAGAATGCTGACCACTTTCACAGAGCCAGCATTTTCTCCTGGGCTGGTATTTGGTACAGAATTAATGAACAGTTCTGAGTGTAATGGTATGAACATGTTAAGAACCCAAGCTGACTGTGTGCCTAGGGAGMTTTGGAATGGTGTGGCCATAGGGAACCTACAGTAAGGTTTTGCTGAGGGCAGGACTCAGCCTAGAAACCACTGCAGTCATTGGCACATTTTTATTGCCTTCAGTAGGCTTTGAAACATGAAATAACTTACCTGTTAGGAGCCTCCAAGAAAGGGATGAAACTGTGTCTTATGCTGTTGTTAATCACATGGTTACATTGGGGTAGAGGTCAGCTTGAAATAGGTTCCTACTGGACAAGGCTAGTAAAAAGACTTTCTGGTGGGTTTTACTGCATAGTATACACTGTACTGAACTTGAAGTACAACTGAAAAAAACACACTTCATTCTCAGAACAAGTTTRGTTCAATGAATGAAAGTGGGTAATTAACTGAGACTCATGGAACTCACTTTAGTTTGGTGCCTGTTTGCAAAGCAGGCCAGATTTATGTCAAAGTGGGTCGCATAAATTAAAAAGCTCCTTTTGAAAATTTGTGTCTTCAAATGCCCTGCYAGTCAGCCTCAGCTGGAATGCATTGTTATGGAAGACTGATCTTGTATCTGCCTTTGAATTTGGTTCTTTTATGTCCCTTTGCAGAAGTGCTTTTGGATCCATGCCGGACTTGGTGTCCATCCTCTACTTGCCAGGCAGTCTGCCAGCTCCAGGAATCAAGCCCACAGGACCCKCAACTGGTCCAGTGCAAAGCGTGTGACATTGAGTTCTGCTCTGCTTGCAAATCTAATTGGCATCCAGGTCAAGGCTGTCCAGAGAACATGCCAATCTCTTTTCTGCCAGGAGAAACAAGGTAAGATATTGCAAAAGATCAAGTATTTAGAAGCTAAACACTCAATAGTTGAGCAAATCGCATTATGAATAGTAAAGAGGCATTTTCCTGATGTTTTGTTCTAAAGCTGTTTCCTTCACTTAGTCATTCCTGTTCTTTTAATGCTGTATTCTAAAACTGAGTAGCTCTTGGCAGCCTYGCTCTTTGCTGCCATTCCCAGAAAAGCACAAAGGAGCTGCTTGAGCCTTTGGCCTTTTGCCCCAATGGGGAAAATATGACATCCAGGGACCTCATCAGCTTCCCTTGAGAGATGGCCTTGTTACTGCTGCTCTCCTGGACAGGGTGAGAGTCAGTAACATCATGCTAGACAGTGATTTTTTGGGTACCCTGTCAGTCATCCCCATTGATGCACATTTGGCCAATGATCTTAAGTTCTGTTTCAAGGGGTCTCTTGTGACAAACTGCAGCCACTGAATTAGAAAGGTTGTTATGCATGTGTTCCACTTCATGTTTGAGCTTTTTCAAAGATAGTGTTGGCACTCCAAGGCATCATTAAAGCTCTGCCCAGCCTTAGACTTAGTTACTCATAACCTGTCTTCATTGAAGCTTTGCTGTAACAGGATGACTAGCTRGGGTGCTGTCATGATGAGTTCCTGATCAAATACACTGACTTTTGCACATGCTTTTGTGTGTACTTGACGAAAACTGAAGGTTGCTAAATTTCATGGCAAGGTGACAAACTTTATCTATTTTTGTTTAGTGTTGCTTAGGTTGCTTTTACTTTTTATTTCACGCTTCATTTTTTTTTTCCTCCTGAGTAAAAGAAGAAAGTTTCTTCATTACTCTGGAGCAGAATGTGCCTGGTAGCAGCATTTGGAGTTTCATGTACATTTTATGTATACAAAGCATTTTTCTCTAATGCAGTTGCCCTTAGTGTTAGTAATTACTGTGTGTCCTTTCATTCTGCTTTTGGGCAAATCAATCAAYCATCAGTCCCATTTTCCAGCAAATCGTTGATTCCCCATCAGTCATTCTTGAATCTCACACTGGCAGTTGCTGCAGGAACTGTCATTTAAAGGTACATTTTAGTTGTCAGTGAGTGTAAAACCTGCATACTGTAGAAAGCYACTCAAGGGAAATAAATATTGGTCCACTGTTCAACATTCCTGTGTGTTGTGCTCATTGTATGAGGGGACACCTGTGGTTTTGCACAGTTATGCAAGACAAGAAGAGTCAGTGCTGACCCTAACTCATGAACAGTGACTTGTTAGGACTCTGTCAACAGAGAAAAGTTTAACAGAAAGAATGACATGCACCAAAACCTTAGGGTTCTTGATTTGGAGGAAGACTCCTAGGGAGGATCCTCAAGGAGGGCAGAGACAAGTAATCTATGCCTGGTGCCCCAATCTAAAGGAATGTGGTCTGGGGTTATTGTGCCATTAAGGGATTGTTTCTTCATCTGAGAAAGAAAGGAGAAAAAAGCAAAATTATCTAGATGTACAAAACATTTAGGTATRAGCTAAATGGTGCTCACCTGATATGTTACAGGAGAAAACTATTTAATATCTATTAGTATCACTAGATAACAAAAACAGCTTTATGTAGACATTGTAGTCATTAAACATCCTTTTCTAGAGATATATTTGAAAAGTAGTGTATCCTGTGATGCTGAATAATAAAACTCACTTGAATAACTGAATCTCTAGCAATTTCTTTTTTAAACAAAAAAGCAGGTTTGGATTTGTAGCACAGTTCTTAGACATTCTTCTCTAAACTGACATTGCCACACACTTTACTAATTTCTCACTCATTCCCACAGTTCAGTTTTTAAAATGGAAGACGATGATGCTCCAATCAAACGCTGTCCAAAGTGTAAAGTTTACATTGAACGAGATGAAGGCTGTGCCCAAATGATGTGTAAGAATTGCAAACATGCCTTTTGCTGGTACTGTCTGGAATCTCTTGATGTGAGTACATGCCATGCGACCTGGCTCTCAGAAGCTTAGAAGTTCATTTCTTTGCCATCCAACTGTCTCTTTAATCAATTAAATAAACTGCTCACTAGCGTCTGGCAGAAGCTCACCAGAGATGGTGCTGGGAATTTGATGCAATTTGTATCCTCTGTTTTACTTGTCTGACCTGTGTGAACTTAGCATTTGGTCTCTGTGAGTCAGTAAATAATTACTGAAGAGTAAAATTTTTTTGACAACAATCTCTTTGCAATCTTTACATGGCAACTAACTTGGGGAGGGATGATTGCTTTTTATTTTCCAGTACTGACTTTTCAATGTTGCCCTTCTTAAAGGAGATACATTATGAGAGTTGCAATGCTCCTAGTTTGAGGAAGTTTAACAAACTAGATGTTGTATGTCACCAGCAGTCAGATTTGTTTACCATTMATTGTATTTTGTGGGACAAGAAATAGATCTGACATAGGAGAAAGAATACAATGTTCTCCCAACACCAGGAATTTATTGGTCTATAAGCTGCTGCTGTCATATGTTTATATATTTTTTAAAATCAGCCTGTTATCATGCCCACGGATCAGAGTGTATACAATACACAACATCTGTTTCCATGTCATCAGTTGTACTTTGTAACATTGTTAACAATAGCAAAGGAAATTAGGTTCCTGAAAGCTACTCTGACTATTCAAATCCTGTGGTTGTCCCATTTGAATACTTTTCTAACAGTCCTGAAGTCACAGACTTCCCACATGCTCTCACAGATAAAAAAGCAGTGTTCCTTGGAAYTAGGTCTGCTGTCTTGGCTAGTTTGTGAGAGGCTGACAGGACTGATAGGGACATAATATCTCAAAAATCTGTATTGTCTTTCTGTTCCTCAGTTAGTTAAAGGAACCAGCTTTGAGAAGTCTGAAGTACAAGTACTGCGTTTCCYTTGCTCTTTCTGTATGTGTGTAAAATACATGCAATGGTCAGCTTATTTTCTTGGATTCTCTTGCTAAAMTTCAGGCTAGCATTTAAATATGCAGCTTAAAACCCTTTGGGAGAAGAATTCATAACATATCTATAAAACATGYTAAACAAACATGTTTGTGAAGACACCTAACTGTGAACAAAGCACTTTGGAAGTGATGGACATGGCCATATCTGCTTGCTTTTATCTTCCTGTATGATTCCTATGTTTATGTTGTYAGGAACATTATGTTGAAGAACTTCTGTTTATTGCCTCCCTTCTCATTTAATGTTTTGTAGGATGATTTTCTCCTTATACATTATGACAAAGGACCTTGTCGAAACAAGCTGGGGCACTCCAGGGCATCTGTTATCTGGCACAGGACACAGGTAAAGCTCAGATCTTTAAAAGCTCTCTACAGATCTACTGCTGTCATAGTGCCTCATTTTAACACCTTAGAGTAAAATTCTGTGCCAAATTGTAACTGATTTTCATAGCAGAAATAAAGAGGGCAATTGCTTGGAGTGGAACAATTAGCTCTCCTGGAGAAGACCCTTCTTGGCAAAATGCCACTGAGACCCAGGAAAGGTATGTTTGCAGAGGCAGTTCAGTGTCAGTCCAGATATGTTCTCACTGAACTTGGAGGACGAGCTARGTTGCCACTGTCAGTATTATTTACAGGGAAGCTCTTCCTGTAAGGTATCTTCAGCCCTGGATCCAGAACTGGAAAGGAATTAACCTGAATATAGTCATTATCTTGCTATGGACTCTATCTGACTTATTCCTGTAGGKTGGGTAGAAAGTAACCTGAAGGCTTTTCAGTAGTTTCAAGCACAGATTTAAATTGACAATTGCAGACAGTGTAGGAATACCTCTTGTGGTCTAGATTCAGTGTTGCTAGACTCAGCAGGAATGCTGGTAATAAAAGAGCTCTCTGCAGCACTTTGATGCATGCAGTATAAATGCTAATGTGTGACTTGGTCCAATCTACTGCCTTTACAGTCACTTCAGAGATATGGGGACATCTGYGTATCTGAGTCATCTCTTCCTAAATTAACTGTGTGTCTGTAAAAAGCTACCTTAGCGAGAGATGAGGCACTTTTCTTGAAGTACAGATTTCTTTCCATTTGAGCATAAACCYGAAGTCTGTGGAATAATAATCAAGTACAGATAAACAGTTAAACTGAAATAAAAGGAGAAGGCTCTCACGCCTCTCTTTCCACATACACCACTGAGTGTCTATAGACTGGGTTTTGCTTGGATTAGCCTATGGTATCTCAGGAAGTGTGTGGGTACATTAAGCTTACTTGGTAAACCTGTATTATGAGGTGATTGATCTGATATTTGAAATCTGTTCTAAGCCACGGTAGTTTGTGCAAATATGTTTGATACACAGAATGTTTGATGATCTGGTCATTGTTGATAAAGAAGGTGATAATTCATTACTAGTCAGGATATAATTCTGCTAAACCCACTGAAGCCAAATCAACACTGCAATTGTTTCCTTATGTTGACCCTGAGTAAGTTGTTTAGTTTCTTCTTAGATTTATCCAAAGCAAACTGAGGTGAGTCTTTGGTTTGTTGTTTGTAGGTTTAAAAAAATATTTGTTTTGGCCACAGAATATGGCTTGGTGCCTAATAGGGTAGCAATTTCTTCAGAAGAAAAAGAACAAATAAAAAGTAAGTAAGTAATACTCAGCAGGCAGTTTTATGTGAAAGTAAACAACCCACTTCCCCACACACACGCACAAAGCCACACAAAAACCAGCAAAACGAAACCACCGAAACTTGATGATTTCTTTCATGGCATATTGAGGCTGAAAGGAAGGTGTAAATAGATGTTTTATAATAATTACCAGTCATCRGTCTGGTCCACTAAATTGCTAACTTCTAGCTTGGTTCTGTCTGACCAGTGCACTCAGCCTGGRCTTCAGAGAGCAGCATGAGAATAGTTGCAGCTCATGTTTTTTAAAGATGAGAATTTAGCTTTGTTTCTGGGAAATAAATGCAAAGATTAGTAGAAGTGGCATCAGATTGTCAGCACCAGCAAAAAAAAAAAAAAAAAAAAAAAAAGAAAAGAGAATGAGTTATAAAACGTGCTCACCTCTGAAGCTGAAAAAGAAATTGCTGCTGGGAATAAATAAAATTGTTAGGGCCAGGCAGTTTGAGCTTTTCGCGGCTGGGCAGCAGGAGTGCCGGATCACGGTGCGTGGGAGTGCGCCGGGAACGCTGTCGCACAGCGCCATCTCCCGCGGCTGCACGGCGCTCCCACCCGCCCGAAYTSCCGCAGCAGCGCCACCCCAGAGCCWTGTGCGAGATCATCAGCGCCAAATTATCCGTGGCCAGCAAAAGTGCTACTGCATCGTCCCATCTATAGCATGGCTAATTTAATATTTGCCGGCTAACTGAAGTGGCATATCTAGCCCTGACTAGAAGAATCCTTAATGAGTGCTGCGCTCCAGTTTCATTTTGCCTTCTGCTGTTATGTTGTGCTATTGCATTGGCATTTGACTCTTGACCTCATTATTCAAAATTATTCACAGACACTCTCATGTGCATAAATCTGAATTATTTTCTCAAACAATTTGTGGGCATATTATTGCAGCATCACTATTACAGTTGCCTGTGGCAAATGGGAAACTTTTTTAGGCAATTAAGCTCAACTTGAATKTTTTTAAAATAATTTTCCAAATTCAAGCTCTCTAGAAATTACCTTGCCACATTGACTGGATGGGTAATCTRTGGTCACCTCATGCTGGGAAGGAGATGATTGAATAAATTGAATAAATGTCAATGAAAAAGATGCACTTAGATCTTGTCCCCTGAAGCAGCAGGATGACCTCAGGACTGCAAAAAGCCATTGTATATGCAAAGTTCTCCTATAGTCCATAGTGTTTGTAATCTGTGATTGAAATTCCCAAGCTTGTGTGCATGCTGGTGGGGCTTTTGTGGAAGCTTTCCCAGTTTCTCTTAATGCCACTTCCACCTTCACTAATTGGTCTTGAAGCTTTCTCCAGGAAAAAAAGGAGCACCTGAAAGTGCAAGTCCTAACTTTCTTGTAACCTGGACTCCAATATTTAGTATTTAGGTTTGAACAAGAAAAGAAAGTAGTGATTTACTTCATTAGTTTTTTGAAATACAGGAAAACTCAAAAAGGCAAACAACCTCTGCATCACTTTGTGTGATGAAACAGCTGTGTGGCACAGTTCTCACTGTAGCCATAAAACATGAACATTCATACTCTGCTTTCTCTCACATTTGCTGGTCACAGGAGCTGGCTGTAGTATACACGTGGGTGGATTTCTGGCGGCTCTGAGTAGGTCAGTGGCATTTGCTGAGGTCTTTTTGATGGACACAGATGATGCAGTGGTGTCAGCCGACACAGAATTTACACAATGGTATCCCTGACATAATGCTATCCCTTTCTTTTACAGGTGGTAGGCATTTTTGCAGGATTTGGTCTCCTGCTTTTGGTGGCTTCCCCTTTCCTTCTACTTGCTACACCATTTGTTCTGTGCTGCAAGTGCAAATGTAATAAAGGAGATGATGACCCTCTACCGACCTAGACTGAGAGAAGATTGGACTCATCACATCGTGTGTTTTGATTTTAYTGTTGCTGTTATGTTTCCCTCTTGCACTTATATTGCTGTAGCCTTACTTGCCCCATCCTGCTTTTCATTAACACAGTCTTGATTCCAGGAACTGTTGTTACTACTGTTGTACAGATCACTTGATAAAAGACGAGGAGGGTAATAGAAGGCAAGTTTGGTGCTAAAGGGAGAGCACAGACCTGGGTAGCTATCGGAAATTAAGAAGTGATACTGCTAAAAATAATGCAAAAAGTTGGTGCTGCCGTGCTGGGAACTGTACTGAATGACGCCAGCAAATCAAGCTGAAAAAGCATACAAACTTCTGCATATCTGTTTGCTTCCAAATTTGGTGTCTTATTCCTACATATATTTAAGTTGCCTATCATTTAAATCAGATAGTCAACTCTGTGTGACTATTACACATCCATTTTTGTTAAAGCCATCACAATGTCCCTTTTAGTACCTATTTTTTTCAAATATAACAAAATTAGTAAGGTGCATATAGGCCATCCTATGCCTTTTTTGCAATCTGGAGAGGATCAGAGGGACAAAATTGGTCCTACTGCCTTCCACAAATTTTATAAAATCTTCAAAAAGTTTGTTTGATTAAAAGCTAAATTTTAAAGTTAATTGATGAAGCTGTAAAGTTGAGTGGTGACRCAAACCTGCTATCTAATCAAGTTTCTTTTAAAAATGCATTGATGGTATTGATTACCCCAGGACCACTAGTGTTTTTTTGAACTGTTATATTTTGCTCTTGTTTAGGGTTCTGCTACACTTATAGGGCTATWTAACTTCTAATCCAGGTATCTTAATATTTTTATAGATACATATATATAAATATATATAAAATCCTATTTAAACCAAATGTGTAAATAGCTGTGCAATTGAAATATTTTGAAAATTCAGGATAGCTTGCTTTTGTCTTTAGGGCAATTATTAAAAAATACAGGACTAACTTTATTATTTARCAGACTCATGGGTTATCAATGAGTCTTTCCTTTTAAATATAAAAATACATCATGGTTATCCCTGTAGTTAATATGAAAATGCCTGGGATATTTGTGGAAGTTGTACTTTGCATTTAAACTACTTAGCCCATTTTCAGAGTTAATATTGTGTGACATGTGGTGTATTGTGTTAATAGCAATACTGTGACAAAAGTTTTTATTTGAAAACTAATCACTTGATAGTTTTGCAGAATTCAGTGCTGTGTTTTCAGGGTAGTAAAGTGTGCTATTCAACATACTACATCATTGAGGTTTCTCGTAAGAAATATTTTGTTGAAAACCATTCTGCTTTGATTTTAAAGCCAATTAGAATTTCTTGCCATGAAATACGAAGCACCTGAAACAATGTGTATGTCTGTAGTACTGAAGGAAAACATTCTTTTGAATGGCTTGTGGACTGAAGTTTTACTGCATTTTTTCTTCATTATTTATTTCTGTGCATCAGCAGTGTACAGAGATGGATGAATATCTTGAAGCCAGGATAACTTTACGCTGAAAATGTCTTAAGATCCTTAAATACATCTTCTTCTGGCTGCTGTCACAGGCTGGGAATATGTTTTCATAGCTCAACCATAAAAAAGTTACTCTTTATTATCTTTTGTTTAACACTGTCTGCTAAATAAAAATATTGTAGGGTGCAGTTTTGAAAAGGGCCAATTTCTTTTTATAAGACTATTCTCCTCCCTMATCTTCCAAGTTTAATGCTATCCAAATTCAGACTGTATCTAATCACAGATTTTAGCTCTAGGAGGTGGAGATTATCTGCAATTCACTTATTTGGCTTGATATTAATGAGTTCGGCTTCTGTAATGTGAATAAAAAGGATAGCTGATTTCCAGCAAATCTGAACTCCTTGTGATATCTTCAGATTGTTTATGGCAATGCACAGTTCAGATCTTTTGTTATCTGAGTACTTTTAGCATTTTAGCTATCTTTGTTACTGAAAATTGCTTAGTTGTTCAAAAAATATCAGTAGGGAAGTCTGGGTAGTGCATTTGATCCCTGTTTGCCAGCTCCCAGGGGTGTGTGAAGTGCTGCTGAGTTCAGCGGGCAGGGAAGTGCTTTTCTCCCTCTGGCTCTGGCATCAGCTCAGTCCCTCTCCCAGAGGCATCCCAAGCAAAGCACCTGAGTTGTCCTGAGTCATAGCTTCATTGTCCAGAATTAATGGAAACCCTTCTGCAAAGGACAGCTTCCTGCAGGTAAGCTTGAACTATGGCCTTTCCTCCTTGGCCCTGTAATTCTGTTCAACTAGAGAAATAAACCCTGGACAATACGATGTAAAGACTTCATGGGTTTTAATTTTCTGACTGGGGGTGCACTGATGGGTTTTGCARTATTGTGGCTGTGGCAGTTTTCCTACTGGGGTCATCATAAACTGGAGAGGTTCAGTGGCCTGTGAACAGTATTGAGTGTCCTGATATGAGGAGGTTTATTTTCTCTGTGCCTTTCTTAGAGATTTTATGTGGAAATATTGCAAAACTTGACTTTCCCAAAGTGCTGTGCGATCAGTTAGTAATCAATGTCAAAATTAATGCATTTCCAGATTTAAAAGAAAAAGGAAAGAGGAATAAGTTCTTTGCAAATACAGGAATTTTTGAATGATGATTCATAATTGATACTCATAGGTAATATTTTATATAATCAGAAAACTGTCAGTATATYTCTGCTCTCAACATACTTGAATTGCTACTGATGATTTTTATGACACAGCTTGTTTCACATCCCAGCTGTTGGAATTGACTATAAACCTACATATATTTACCAAATACCTACCTAGTGTTTTCAGGTTTGCTAAATGTCATTCCATCTGTGTTCTCGGGGATTTTTGTTTGTTTTTGTTATTGTTAATATAGTTATTATTAATGTTATTTTTAATGCTGATTTAGTTCCAAAGTAGCAACTTTTGGTTGTGATGCATTAAGTTCAGGGTGCTTTTATGTTACAGCTTATGTTGATACTGTGACATTTAATACCCCAAAACTGAATTGTAAATACATAATTTTGAACTCTTGACATTTAAACCCCCTGCCATGGGAAAGAGAATGTTTGTTTGTTTCTTCTGCTTTTTGAATGAAAATCTGTTACAAMAGCTATGGCTTTTTAGACTTGCACCAGAAAAATAAGTATCACAGCATGATTTCTGTTGCATTTTTATGGTTATGCTATTATTTAGCAGGTTTATATTCGCACAGAATCATAGAATATTCTGAGTTGAAAGGGACCCATAATGATCGAGTCCAGCTCTTGAGTGAATGGCCTGCTAGTGAATGCTGTGCTCAGTGGAGTTTGTAACAGTACATCATATTCTGCTGGGGTGTCACATTGTGTCATGTCTAGCCAGTGTGAAGTCCCAACTCCAAAGGCTTTGCATCTCCCTARGTTTGCCATTAGTTGGGCTGAAGTCAGTCCTGAGAGATCACAAGTACAGCCCACATAATCTTCAATGGTGGTAGCGTTGGGTTTTCCCCTGTGGCATTGGACAAGTCACTTATCTCACTTTATCTCAATTTAGCCATCTTTCAACTGAATTGAGCTCAGGAGGGCTGTGAGGGCAAATTTGTTGGTTTTGAGGCTCTTCAAGAGTTTGTGRTGAGCAATTACATATAAAAGATTACTGTAGTTTTATGTTAATATTTCAGTTTCATTCATGTTGGCTTTAATCCTGAAGCCTCCTATGACTGACTTTGGCATGTCATGAATTTAGGATACTTTCCCCTGTGTACTAAGAAGCATGATCTTTCSTCAGATACTGTCGTGCATAAATTAGGAAAAATCCCAAATGACAGCTGACTGGATCAACTTYCAGCTTACAGCTGAGCTCCTGACATGCAAAAAACAATCAAAATTTGTGAAAAGCTCTCATTTATGGAGCTGACAGGATAAAATATCCATAGGTCAAAAAAAATACGAAGTGCTTTTTTTAAAAAATTGTTATGGGCAGGTAGATTAAAATGAAGTTCTGTGCATTTYATCTTTTACTGTAGGCCTTTTACTGTATAGGAATAAATATTTTTAATGCAGRCCATTATCATTCCAGTGAGGTGCAGCATGCATTAAGCTTTGTGCAGGTTTGCTTTTTTAAAACCAAAGTTTGTACATTTCACGTACATAATCTAAAAGCCTGAGGAAAACAAGTAAATTACSGTTGTTGATGACAGTGATATTAAGGACATCAAAAAAGCCTGCATCAGCCCTTAATTGCTAATGCACTTGTACTAAATAAGGCATGCTGTTTGTGTTTAAAGTCCTGTGGTCTTCATTATTGCTTTGATTTGTGTATATCTTACAAGAATTCCAGGAACATTAGGTACAGGTACATGGTACATAACTGAACCTTTCTTGATCATTTTATTATGATGTATTTTAAACTTGTATAGGGATAAGCATGAAGGAGTCATGCATATGTATAAATAATGTATTTGACCAGTGTAAAAATAGTTCTGTTGATGTATTTGAAATGTAAGTGCATTTTGTGCCACTAACACTGTGATGTATAAAGGAGCTGTTGAATGCCTTTTAATGTGGTGTTTTGTACTTTGAATCATATTGAAGAGTTTAATTTGTAATTTCAATAGATAYTTTAAATGAATTTGTTTCCTGTACTTCTTCATAATGATTTTCCCCTGTCCTTCTCTGCCTCTCAGTCCTTTGCAGCAAACACAGCCTGCRGCCTGGAGAGCTCCTGCCACAGTTCTGGGCATAATTGTGTTTTCTCTCTCACCATCTYGCAGCTTAGCTAAAAGAGGGAATCTGGGTTCTCTAAAGCCAGTTTGATGCACAGCTGGATMTTTGGTCCAGCTGCTGTTTCAGTCCATGGATGGATGCTCTAGCCAGGTGAATGTGTTAGGATCCCTCTGAGGTGTGTGTATGTCCTTGCACCATGGGTTTAGCTCTGGTGGAGGTGGCTGCAAGCAGCTTGTACTCCCCTCAGTTTGGTGAAAGTGAAACTTYAAAGCCAAAGCCCCAACTTCTGAATAACAGCATATTTAACTCTCTGACAGTGGTAATAACTTCTCCTGTTCTTGACTCCATCAATAAGCACTTTGCACTTTTCCTTAACTGTAATTGAGAATGTAAACTTTCCTTTAGTCCCCAAGTTTCTTTCTCACTTGTTAGAATACAATTTGTTATACCCATAAAATGGAGTGGCACGATTTCTTCAAGAAAATGGTGTGGATAAATAATATGTATCCATGTGCTTTATACCTGAGTTTTAGAAAAGGCCACATAATAGCTGCTATTAAGTAATTTCTTCTTTATTTTTCATGGAGCGTAATGATTTGGCTTCATAAGGGTAAGATCAATTTAGATACTTTGTTCAATTAATTGGGTGAAAAAATAGTATCTAAAAGCAGCAAGGGGTTTTTACCTCTTCAAGGAGCAGGTATTGTTAACAAAGTGATCTTTCTGCCTACTTCTGCTGCTCCCATATTGTATTGCCTCCAATTAACATATGTTTGAAAGTATATTTGGTGTTGCAGTTTTCTCTTGGAGAACAGTAGGATTATTTCCCAGTCACCTGCAATAACCATATAGTTTAGTGACCTTCAGCTCCTGGGCAATCCCCCACTTTCCCTACCAGATTCAGCTTACCTTGCTGTAGAAGGATTTTCTAATTCGTGCCTTTCAGCTGTGTGACTGGGTTTCTGCCCATAGTCCGTCATCGGAGAATTGAGCACTACAGAAACTGAGTAGAAGTCAACTCTAAAATAAACAATTTAAGTTGAATTCTCAAGCAGCAAACTGCTAACACATGTTCAATGTGTGTTCCAGTAGCCAGTGTCCAGGATCATTCAGTTGCCAGAGCTGAACCACATCCATAGTAGTAAATTCTATTAGGAGCGACCCCAACCCCAGAATAACTCCTGAAGTGTACCTGGGCATTGGATGGAAGAGTTCTGGTCAAAATCACATCAGTAACTGTCCTATAAGAGCTGAAAGATTGAGACTATAGGATTGCACAGCACAAACCCCTTGTGCTAGTTCTAGCCTTCTGCTAGTTACAGTGGTACTRATGGACGTATGGCTGTAGAAATTGCATTGTGTACACACACATGTATGGGGGCAGTGCTAGAAATTGCCGCTACCAACTTGCATTGCGCATCCACAACATCCATAAAGCACCTTCTTTTTTTTTTTTCAGTTGAAGATCACCTAGGAAGTTCCTCATGAGTGTTTTTGTGCTGCAGGCACTTGACCTGTCAGCACCACATCTGTAACAAGAGTTAATTTATGCAGTAACCGCTGTAACTTTTATTGATTTTGAAACCAATATAACTTTAGTTGATTCTGAAAATGAGAGGTAAGGTTATTTTGTAAAAGGAAGCCTTTGCTATCCAGATTATGTGCTCTGGGAACCAAGATTCAGTGTCGTATCTGACATTACTKAAGTATGAAGTTTGACTTGACATTCATGTGTCCAGCCTTAACTGGTGGTAGTCAGTGCAAAGATACATTTCTTGAGTCTTTGGGACATTTCCCTTCCCATCCCATGCTGCTTTTACTAAGGTTGTTGTCTAGACAACAGCCTCTCAAGCTGCTTCTCAGGTGTGTTTTTTTCCCCCATATACTTTGATGACAAAAATCTCAATGTCCTTGTCCAGGCATATAACTTTTACATGGCCAAAGCTGAGGACAGCAGCTGTAGAGTGCCTTATCACAAGGACTGCTTTCAGACACCAGGACAGAACTTGGTGATGCAAGTGAACCAGGTTACTCTTTGTTTCCAGATGACTCTCTGTGTGATGACTGTAAYGTGCCACATATAGCAAATGTTTAGATGCCTTTAATCATACAGAGCAACTATGATTCAGAACAATGGAAATGCATTTAAAAGACTAGAGTCCAGTTCTTTTGTGGTGTGTGACAGAGAGCAATGTCAAGTTGTGTGTGTTATTTGTAAATTTATTCCAAAGCCAAAAATGAAATTAACACTGTTAGTGCAAKAAAGAGAGCCCCTGGGAGTAAATTGTACATGTCCTAACTCATTGCAGTATGCCTAAAAAAATATGGATCTATATTTGTGTGTCTAGCTGTACTTTATTTTTATGCACAGCATCTCCTTAAATGTCAAATGTGACTTCTAGTCTGTGTACTCATGTATGAGTACAGGAAGAAGAAATTCTGTGGCATAATTTTGTAGGGAATACAAAAATTTAGCAGGTTCTGTAGGCCTGACCTGCTCATACTAGTCTAAATTAAAGATGTTGGCTCAGCCATTCCTGAGATCTCACTGCTTTGTGTTATTCTTGAGAATAACTGCAAACAAACACAGATTTTATTTTTCCTCTTTGCTCCCTCAAGATGATGTTTTGATGGGTGGCAGAAATGCTTGGGCTGCTTCAAAATCCTGAGGTTTTATTGTATTTTGAGAATGCCAGTGTCATTTTAGGGGTTAGCCACAGGAGAAATGCATGAGTTTGTGTAAAATTGCCTCGGCAGATGAGCACTGTGCAGCGGGTTTTTGTTTTCATGCCTTAGTAATTATTAGTGGGTTCATTTTGCTGAAGTCTCATGTAAYGGCTACGAGGGGCACAGGTCGAGTGAGGGATTCCTGAGTTGGAGCAGGAATAACCTTTCGTGGCCGCCTTAGCAAAGCCCCGGGGAAGGGTGTTYGGGCAGTGAGCGCTGCTGCGGGGAACCAGCAGGGAGCAGCCGCCGATCGCCGCGGCTCAGCGTGGGCTGCCTTGCGGGAGAAATCCCTGCGAGCCGGATTTCTGCCTCCAGCTTGTAAAGTCTGGGTTTCAAAGCCTCCGCAGAGCTAATTGTAAAGATAGGGCTAAAAATAACGATGTTATGATGGGCCTGCACACTCTGCTGGGACTGTTCTCGTCTCTGATATTAACATACATTATTGCTCCTATTCTCCGAGAGTGTATAAACCTTTTCTGAAAGGGAAAGAGCCCAAGTGTTTGAACTTTCCTGATATACAGATGTTCCAGTCTACTAATGTAAAATGAGAGGTGCAAACCAGGGGTCTCTTTCAAAATGCCAAGATCAAAAAACACTGACCTCACTGGGAGACAAAGGGGGAACATTAAAAATCAGTTGGTTACAAACAGTAAGATATGGCTAATAACACTGCATCTTCTCTATATTTTATAATAGACGGATATTGTAGCTCAGCCAAATTATTCTTTTCTCCCTTCCTACCCACGCCTGCTGTCGTATGTGTTCCTTAATACAGATGTTCAGCAGAAACAATGCAACTGTCCAAACAATAACTCCAACCATCCATTCAGCAGTCAACATGTTTGGCAGGGGATGCAAGATGCAACAGGGGGGTTGCTGTGGGTCCTTCTGCCTTTACCTCTYTATTTATATACATTGCAAAGTTCATGTGTCTTCCTACCCCTGCCCAGCCACCAAATGTATTTGAGCAAAGTGAAAAGTTGGTTTCTCATATGTTTTGCAGCCTGGAGGTTTGTTTCAGTGTCCTGCCAATACTAATGCAAACTTTAACTTTTTTWAAAAAAGATATAATGTGCAGTCCTGACTGCTTCTGTCTCCCTGACAAAATTCCAGGGACTCCCAGGAAACTTGTAGTTCATGCAAATTACAGCCTATTAGGGATGTGTTTGGAGCATGTTTTTGAGCTGAATCAGTTTTTCCTTTTCAGAACCTTGAAATTTTCTTATGTGAAATGGTGCAATTAGAGAATTGGGGGTACACAGTATATCTTACCAGACCACTAAAACTTTATTCTCACCATTTCCACGCATTTTGTTCAGCAAATTTTCCCAGCCTTCAACATCAATAAGAGGGCTACAGACTGAGAATCTTCATCGTACAGGATGCATCCAGCCTTTCAGTGCTCCTTGCAGGTTTTCCTGGCTTGCCAGCAGTAGGGTAGTGTTTCTAATATTGAAGTATTGAAGAGCATTGAAGAGTAGCCCTCGAAAGAAGCAAATCAAGGGCAGGGAGAAGGGCTATCTTGCTGTTTGCCACAACTGGAAGCAGAAAGCAGAGAAATCCAGAGCAGCAGAAGTGAGAGGCTCTGAGATATTGCASCTTTCTTTCTGTCAACTTCTACCTATGCTGTGACTAAAATGTACATTGGTGCTCAGTGYCATCATCCTTACCAGCAATTTTTATCCTTTCACTTGATATCTCAGGATGTGCTGCATTGCAGGTTCTGCAGTCGATTACTARCATTTCCTTACAGAGGAAGGTTGTGGCTGGGTTAAAATGTGAGTGCCTTGTGCGAGAGCTGACCCTCTGGCTCAGCTTCTCCTTTGCTGTGAATTAACCTAGATATTTTCTCTGCCCTTGTGCTGTGGAAATAAACCAAATGTGAAAACCTACAGTTCCTGCAAGCAGCATCCTTTGTCCTTTTAGAGACATCTCAAGGTTCCTATGAAACCTAAAGAGTTCTGTTGGATGCAGCCATCTCTCTTCCATAGCTTTTAAGATTAAGCCTCAGAAAATACCTTCTGAGTCACAGGGACTGGGCCAGAAGCTGAGRGGAAAAGCTGTGGCAGTGAGGAAAAGGAAACTGAGCAATGCCTGAGGTTGCAGCARCATCTGTTTKAAATTACAGGATACCTTAATGATCCTTCAGGATACTCTGTACTTTAAGGTCTTTAAAGTTTTTGACA